GTTTACTCTTGTTTTTCCTCTTCTTTTATCACTCTCCTTTTTGCTCTTCTTTGCCTCCTCACACAGAGGAGCTCCTTTTCTTTTGCTAGGCCGTTTTTCACTTGTCTCCAAACTTTGTCCGTCTGCCATTGTGCTCGTGACTCAACTATCTCATGCCCAACTCCTCATAAGGACCAGCTCCAGTCCCTGATTGGCTGACCGACCAGTTTCACAATACATGACGCATTTCCTGCAGTAAAGCAGATTTTTTCAGAGAAATTTAAACACAAGTGGCAGAAGCTTATTGCAAAGATTACAAAGCCACTAAGTAACCTATGTAAACACTGAAAGTATGATTTTACTGTGGACACTACCCTGTGCAACCCACATTATTTTCATCATGATAATATTTAGGAAAAGATGCTGTCTGTTGCCTCTTTAAGATGCTGTGATCAACACGATGTGAACTGATTGATTCCTCACCCCTTTATCCACCGATGCTCTGATGCTCAGTGTTCTGCTGCCGGTCTCTCCCCTCACCATGGCCGTTCTCAGCTACAAGTGCAAATAATACAAAGTTAAATCAGTTGTGTTCCTCTCAAATTAATTTGTGAAAGCTTTCATTCCTACTGTAATTCCTGAGTTTGAAATCGTAGTTACCCTCTCATCTGTATCCTCCCACTCCACCTCCGACAGGTCCACACTGTTGTAGTTTGGCTTCGGCTTCAGTTTCTTTCCATCTTTATACTGTAGGACAGAGGACACACTGTTACTGTGTGTGTGTGTGTGTGTGTGTGTGTGTGTGAGTAGTGAAATACTGTATAACCATCCTCATAAATACTTAATACCTTCTCCCCTTAATGTACCCTTCAGGACATCTGCGACACTGTAATGGTACATCTCTTTCTTTAAATAGAGATCTAGTCAATCAGAGCTGCTGCTGCTGCTCTCAAGTTAAATCTGTCGTCTGCATTCATGTTGAACTCACCAAAGGTCGAAGGTCAGGGTGAGCCAGGATGTAACCGTTGTTGGTGATGAGGAAAGCGTAGCCGTGAGCTCCCAGCTGTGGAGGAAGGTGAGGAAGAAACATCAAGGAGAGGAAGCTCAAGGAATTTTGACATTTACAGCTTTTATTGTGAAAAGCAAGACCAACTTCCCAACACATCTCAGCCGAGCTCACCATGTATCTGGGTGCCAGCTTCATCACCTCCATCAGTGGGACGTCAGAGCCAACCACACCCAGCAGGATCCCATGGGACAGCTGGAGAGACAGGCAGCAGGGTCACTTTAATACCACAGAGTTTTAGACATCTGGAGGAATCTCCCTTCTGATCAACTGTTTTAATACAACAACACTGTTGTAATGTGAAAATGTAAACTACAGCTTCTACATTTGGTCAGTTTCTGGTCAGCGTCCTGCTCCTATGGAGGGATGAATGTGGTCTCTTTTCCTGTTTGTTGAAGACTGAAACAAAATGGCGACTGAAGAGAAAAATCCTCACAGATGCTGTTAAACTCCTCCTGAGCAGTGGTTCTCAACTCGGGTCCTTAAAGGGAGCTCCAGCGGGTACCCAGAAAAATGTGGAATATCTATTTTAACTATTTAATTCACTACAGACGTGAACCCAGTGTGAGTCAGAGGAGTGACTATTCTGCTTACAGGTTTGACAACAATGAATTCTGGCCTTTATCGTATCTAACAACCAAAATCTTTTCAGAGATAAGTCCCTTAAAGTTCAGATAACTTTAATGAAGGATGACAGTTGATTGACATAACATGAAGTCGTGTCTATTTTCAGATGTCTGACGATTTTGGACAAAAAAACAGACTCAATATGCAGAGGCTTTTACAGTAGACAGAGTTGACACTGACCGTTTCCTTCTTCTTGCTGAACACTGGCATGGCCACCGAGGTCATCAGCAGGAGACTCTGAGCTTTGGTGGTGAAGAGCTGAGACGAAGCAAACCAAGTGACACACAGTGAGTTTTCTATTTCTATAAGAACACACACTCTCAAACATGACTGATGGACTGGGGAGGCAGATTTTAAGGCTGCTGTCAGCCCTAGAGTGGTCTCCTCTGGTCTGAATCAGGGACTCATGTTGTTCCAAAGTTTTTTCCATGTGGGAAAAATCCAGGAAGTAAAGCAAACGTTGAAGAAGAGTACACTTGCAAGATAAATGTGACACTTTCTAATGTCACAATGGAGGGACAACTACGCAGGTTGATTTTAGCGCTGCTCATCGTGGACTATATTGCTGTCATTGTTCATTTTAGTCAAAGCATACAGTTTGAAAACGAGGCGCGGCTCCAACTAGAAAACAATGTTTTGATGCATTGGATGTGCTGAATGTGCATATTAAGGCAGTACAGGAGGAGGTGCACATTAATAATCCTCCAGGACTGTAACATGCTCATGTTTAACCCAAACAATGTGTCATGTGACTGCAGTTGCTTCACATCCAGGTCGCAACACCTTCTCACCACAAACCAACCGCACCAGAGTTCCTTTGGAACCAGACTGAGACCACCTCTTCAAGAAGGTCTCAGTCTGGTTGGTTTGGTGTGTTCACACCTGAGTGTGATTGCTGTGTTCACACCTGCACAAATGAACCGAACTGAGGGGACAAACGCACCTGAGTTTGACTGAACTGAACCAAACAGGGCAGCTGTGAAAGCAGCCTGAAGACATTTAAAATGGTGACTGACACCATGTTCAAACAGTGTCACTGTGGTTTGATAAAACGATGATAATCTTACGGTCTTTTCTTTGAATTTTCTATACAGAGTTTATTCTTGGTCACCTACACACAGTTTATACACAGCTTTGTTGTCAGTGTTGTCAGCAGAAGCAATCAAATGAAAAGCTGTTTGTGTTGGGATCCTGTGACATCACCCTGTTATAATGACAACCTGCTCGCTGCACATCATCCCTTACATATAATATAATATGTTCATTGTGACATTACATGCAGCTAGTGCAGCTCTGAGGTTGAACTCCAGGTGGTGATGTGGGACTACTGCAGTACTGTGTGCATGTTAAAGCACCGTGGTGGTAAAAGTACTACAATCACTATAATGTGAACCAGTGGTTCTCAACATGAGGGTCAGGGCACTGTGGGGGTCATGAAATAACTCAGAGGGAGTCTTTCATATATGTTGATATATTAATGTCTAACATGTCAAACATATACCATGTAACTTTTATGTCTTCTTCTACATATTAAATCCTGCAGGATGAAGAACTGTTCATCTAAAACTACAACTTCTTCTTCTTTACCTCCTTGGTGTTGGGAAGCTGTCGGAGCGATGGAGGAAAACGCCCAGAGGATCATGGGAGAATGAGTCCAAACACAGGGAGGAAGCAGACAGATGAAGGTGAAGTGATGATGATGATGATGACTGTACAGTATGCTCACTTAAAGGAGTAGTTCACCCCAAAATGACAATGTAGAAAGAAAGGTTTCATGATTTCATGTCTGATACACTTAGAAAATAATGAGCTGCTACTTTAAGCTCTCTGATTGGCCGGCTCTGGCTCACCACAGAGTCCATGTAGGCTTCCGTCCAAATGATGTCATGGTCATGGTTGATGACCATTGGCCGGCTGAGCACGTGCAGGTACTCCATGACGTTCTCCTGCACGTCGGCCAGCGTGGAGATGTGTGTGTAGTAACCTGAGAGAACACACACACAGAAACATGCAGTTTATAGAGAGAGAGAGAAACACACACACACGCGCGCGCGCACACACACACACACACACACATTCAAGCGCACACACCTTTGTTGTTGCAGGCGATCCACTTGGTGTTCTGAGCGAAGGTCATCTCTCTGCCGATCAGGTAGGTGAAGACTCGCACCTGAACAGAGAAACAGTTTGTTAACCCTTTGTTGTTCTGGATTCCTCATCTACAGAGTTCCTGTCGTGTTTCAGTCACTGTGGGCGTCAATCAGTCGGCCTTCTCTCCAATATAATGGGACTAGTTGGCACTCGGCTTGTGGTGCACTAAGCACGAAAAAAGAATACATTAGAAAAACTTAATATAAACATCTCTTTCCAGAAATCATAACCCGGTTCATGCAGGATCTATTTTCTTTAAACTAAACTACACCTGCCGACCAAATCACTACGCAGAAGGAAGCCGGCACCTGCTGCTAGCTCACATAGCACCACTGAGCTAGCTAACGTTACAGCTCAGCAGAGGAGGACGTCATTAATGTTTACATGTTTGATTGGATGCACGCTCCCTTCTGTGTGGTGATACGGGTGAAGTTTGGTAGAAAGAAAACAGCACGTTCGTGATACTGCTCACAAGAAATAAAGGCCTGCGTCTGATATCTATTCAAATAAAGGCCTGGTACCCTCTGCAGTTGGCCCCAGCTATAAATGTGCACACAGACACACATGCTGGTGCTAAACATGCCCAGTCTCATGAGCTCATGTCACTGGTGAAAGGGAGCTGATTTTGCAGAGAAATCCCAGTTAACGTGCGGAGAGATCGTCTCTTCTCTCTGACCCCCAGTGCTCGTCCTCACCCTGCGCTCAGGCCAGTTGAACTCCTCAAAGACAGACTCAAAGTCCTCCATGGCTCCGTCTGTGATCAGCATGATGGCCTGGTTACACATGCTGCCCTGACCGTTCACCCTCGCCTGCACACACACACACACACACACACACACACACACACACACACACAGACACAATATAAGAACTTACAGGTGTCACAGTGACTGTGAAGTGACCTGTCTGCATCACATTCAACTCTGGATTTGAGTTCGGCAGGCAAAGCAGGGCCAAAAAAAAGTTTCTCTGAATTTCAACTGGTTTTACAAACTGCATATTTGAATGTGTATATACACACACATCACATCCTCTAAGGCTACATGCTTTCTAACTTCCTGTAGGAGACCACAGCAACAACATGTTAATATTTAACAATACAAAAATAATCTCAGAGCTTTAAAGTTTTGTTAAATGAAGAGCTTAATTTCTTCTTGCTCCTGTGATCATCACGGGACACAAACCTCATTTAGTATTTTGAAGGATTCCTTCATGGCGTTCTTGATCTTCGCTTCACCTTTAACGTGCAGCTCTTCCACCAGCAGCTTAAAGTGCTGAGAGACACAGAGATAAATAAGGTAAGGTAAGGTAAGAACAGTAGAGCATAAGGTAGAGCTTTATTTATGCTGCGGGAAATTGTTGTTTTAGATTTTTTTTTGTCGTAATTTCAATACGAAGAAGGAAAGAGTGAAACTATAACAAATAAAAAATACAATATATTGCAATAATGTTTGTATTTTTACACGAGTAGAGAATCTGAATCCTTGTAGCTCTGAGATCAGACTGCAGAGCACTGGACAGAGGATGACCTGCTGCGGCTTGACATGTCAAGAAGTAGGCTAATAGGTTGACCTGAAAATAACGTTGAGGGGCATTCCTCTGTGTGGTGTGTGTGTGTGTGTGTGTGTGTGTTGGCCGCTAAGACGCCTCATCAGCTCTTTAAGCCTCCATGAAGCAGATAATGGTCTTACCTCTCTGTTGTCCAAGTCGGCCTGGACCAGAGTTCCTTTGAAGCACGGCTCCACATACCGAACGTAGTCAGTGTACTGCAAACAGGAGGACACAGGTTCAAATCCGCAGACCAGTAACAGCAGCCTCCCGAAGGATGTAAGGAAACTAAGTACATTTACTCAAGTACCGTACTTAAAGGTGCAGTGTGTAGGATTTAGGGGGATATACTGGAATATAGTATAATAAGTATAGTTTCCTGCTTGGCTTTTAATGTTTAACTGCTTTATTCAGTGTTTTAACCAGTTTTAATGACCAGCTCTGTTTGTTTAGGAGAGGAGGAGAGACCTCTGTGGATAATTCAGCTCCCGCTAAAAACCTCCTCAACAATCAACACTGAAAGAATCAGAGCCAGGAGAAGTTTCAGCTGGTTGCAATCTGCAATCCTCACCGCTAGACGCCACTAAATCCCCCTAAATCTTACATGCCGAACCCTTGAGTACAAACCTTAAGTATTTGTATTTTACCTCCAACGCTCCTTTAAATTCTACACACTGGATTTATCTGAGAGCATTAGTTACTTTGCAGATGAAGATTTTTACACAGAAAACATACAAAGGTTTATAAAATATGATGTTATGTAATAAATGAATTTAACCAGCAGTTTATACGAGTACAGCTGAAAAATAATGTGACACCATTACATTAACATTTCATGGTTTCAGCTTCACAAACTTTTCCTCTGAATGATGTTAATAACTGTAATGTGTTAGTGATAATGTTGAGAAGGTGTCACTTTGGGCTCTGCGTCATTGTGACGAACATTTCTCACTGTTTTCACTAATCAGTCGATTAATGGAGAAAATAATTAGATTGATCCATGATGAAAATAATCATTAGTTAATGGTTCATAATCAGCTCCACCTGAACCAACTACAACAGTACACTCCTGATTTCACAGTAATTATCTGATGATATGTGGGATGAACAGATTCTGAAACTCTGGGCCAACACCAATGTTTAAAACAACAATTTAGTTGATAGCCGCTGTTTTTGTTGCTATTGATTCCCTCTGTCGTGCCAGGGGAAAAAGAAATCTACATTTTAAAAAATGACTGAAGTGTTTTAGAGTCATTCGTCTTTAAATGAGCACAAATTCAATAAAACACATTTATTTAACACGTTTAATAAAACTTTCGTTCACAAGAAAAAAAAACTGTTTTGAAAGCCTTCTAACGATAAATAATATCTCATACTTCCTGCTTTAATATCTATATTATTATTATGTTGCTGTGAAAACGTCAAATTTCTCTTTCACACAACTGTATTTATTCAAGATTCTCATCAAAAATAAATTTTACAAGATTGCATTTGAACATATCATGAGATGGTTATAATTTACCTTCACCTAATACTCATTTTTACTGAATAGAGCTTGAACACATCATCAGTGCAACCTCTGTTAGCACTTAGTTTTGGCCACTGGCTGCTAACAGCTAACGCTATAAATATACAAACATATATAAATAACAGTAGTAGAGTCACAGGGGACTTTTTTCTCATTACATGCTTTTGCTGCAGGAACAGTTTCAATGCAGGACTTTTATTTGTAGCTAAGTATTTTTACAGTATCTGAGTACTTCCTCTACCACTGCTGTAATGTCAGACTGTGTTTGGTTGTTGAAATGTGTGTGTGTGTGCGAGTCTTTTTGTGTGTTTGTCTCACAGCAATGACGTTGACAAAGTCGTTCTCTCCCAGTGTGTCCAGGATGGTGTTGATGGTGTGTTTGGCGATGGTCATCTTCAGCCCCTTCATGCTGCCGCTGATGTCCACCATGATGATGATGTCTTTGGGAGACGTGGCTGCCTGGATGTACCTGAACACAACATGACAACAGACCCAGTACCCATTCATTTCAATGTTTGTGACGTCCTCTTGTTACACGCTTTATTGCACTATCAAACACAGTGACTGATCAGATTTGACAGTATATTGTCTGAAAGGTGTTATATAAATGATATATCATTATTATTATTATTATTATTATAATCTCTATAAACTCCACATTATTGATAGAAACAAATAAAATGTGTCACTCAGAGTTACAGGCAGCAGCTTTTTCCAGCTCAGCTGCAGTAATGCGGCGTGACGTGGCGTTCAGGGACATATGCAGCTCTCTGGTATTATTTAGAAATGCATGAACAGTCGCATATGGTGCCATGTGGGCAGCAGTGACCCGGCTAAGGAAGGAGCTTATCGTCTTTTCCAGAGGATCAAGACTCTGGTTGGCCGCTGCTCAGCCGACACACAGCCAGCAGAACGAGCGCCTCAGACTGAAGCTCAGTGTCACACAGGCAGTTTCTCCTTTTATGTATTAATAATCATTTCTGTTGTTACATGGCCGTCAGTTTTGAGCTTTGCTTTTTAGCCTAACAGACACAAAACAACAAACACACTGTATCAGAGGTGTTGACTCAGCTTGATGGTCGCTTTGGAGGTTTTACTTTGTCATTTCTTGTTTATAAAATATCAGGTTAAACGTCTTTCAGTTGGTGTTTGTGAGGATTTAACTTCCTGTTCCTTCTTTCAAATCATTTTACCGAGTTTGACTTCAGGATTTTAGACACTTTTCTTCTTCATGCTATATAAGTTTGCAGCATTTGGGACTGTCATTTGTTCCAATAAACATCTGTCTATTTTAACATGTGACAGATCAACGAACAGGACGGCAGATATTGAATTTTAAAGTTTTTTTTAAACTTTGTGAAGTCCTGGTGTTGTGAGTTTCGAGACAGAGGCTGAAGATATGTTGTAATATTTATAAACTTCTTTTTAAAAAAAACCTACAAAACAGGCAAAATTCAAAGTATGATGTCGTTAATGTTTCTGGACTTTATGCTCCTGTTTCCAAGCTGCTGGCGTGCTGACACCTTTACTGACAGACTAAACTGAGCGACCAGATTATTACTGAATATTATTTATATCTGTAAACAAACTGAGTTCAGTGTGTTCATTCAAACACAATGTCTGAGCTCCACCAGCTGTATTTAAAACCAGCAGAGAACGTCATCTGTTGTTTTAAATAATGCGTGTTTAAGTAGTGGGATCGAAATTTTTAACCAGGCGTTTTGAAAATGTGATTCAAGTTTCATCTTTATGTTTATTCGTCATGCTAGCAGGTCTGTGACGCTGTACTTTTGCACAACTGTGCTTTGAGCTGAATGCTAACACTAGCATACTAAAATGTTCAGAGTGAGAAAGCTAACATGCTGAAGATTAGCAGGGATAATATTTACCATGTTCAGAGTGAGTATTAGCATGCTAACATTAGCTTATTAGCAGTAAACACCAAGTCCAGCTGAGGCTGATGTGGATGTCACCAGTTCTGCAGATATTTGGTCATAAACCAAAATATTGGGCACATTAAAAATGCTGACCTGATGATGGCGCTAGATGAAAAGTCAGAATCACCAATGTTGTTACCATTCATCCTGAATGTAACATTAATATGTGAAGCACATTTCATCACATTCAGTCCAATAAATGTTGAGATAGTTCCTTTAAAACATCAAATGTGAACCTTGTCTGGTTTTTATGTGAGAAGATGTTGGTGGACTGAACTCACCAGTTCCTGTTCCTGCAGTCGAAAGCTGCCACACCGTTGGAGTCTGGAGTCCATTTAATACCTGACAGAGACACATGGAGTCAGTTCAGATCGACCTCTCAGATACTGCTGATATCACTGTCTGCAGTTAACATGGAAACACTCAGAGATACAACAAACTACCAAAGTGTCAGCAGATTATGTAGGCTGTATAAAGACACCATCACACATGCATGAATTAACACTGGCAAACATTCACCTCCTGTTCACTAACATTCACTGTCACAAAGGGTGGAGGCAGAGCATCTTTGGTGAACTCTGACCAGCAAAGTCTCAGCTGCAACCACTATCTAAGAGGTATGTGTGGAACGATAGGGATGCACTGATTCATCAGCCCAACATTGGTATTAGCCGATATTCGCCTTGTTGATGGGGGCGGCTGATGTTTTTCTGTGGGTTTCCTCCAGGTGCTCTGACATGTTCTCCCTGTGTCAGTGTGGGTTTCCTCCAGGTGCTCTGACATGTTCTCCCTGTGTCAGTGTGGGTTTCCTCCAGGTGCTCTGACATGTTCTCCCTGTGTCAGCGTGGGTTTCCTCCAGGTGCTCTGACATGTTCTCCCTGTGTCAGCGTGGGTTTCCTCCAGGTGCTCTGACATGTTCTCCCTGTGTCAGCGTGGGTTTCCTCCAGGTGCTCTGACATGTTCTCCCTGTGTCAGCGTGGGTTTCCTCCAGGTGCTCTGACATGTTCTCCCTGTGTCAGCGTGGGTTTCCTCCAGGTGCTCTGACATGTTCTCCCTGTGTCAGCGTGGGTTTCCTCCAGGTGCTCTGACATGTTCTCCCTGTGTCAGCGTGGGTTTCCTCCAGGTGCTCTGACATGTTCTCCCTGTGTCAGCGTGGGTTTCCTCCAGGTGCTCTGACATGTTCTCCCTGTGTCAGCGTGGGTTTCCTCCAGGTGCTCTGACATGTTCTCCCTGTGTCAGCGTGGGTTTCCTCCAGGTGCTCTGACATGTTCTCCCTGTGTCAGCGTGGGTTTCCTCCAGGTGCTCTGACATGTTCTCCCTGTGTCAGCGTGGGTTTCCTCCAGGTGCTCTGACATGTTCTCCCTGTGTCAGCGTGGGTTTCCTCCAGGTGCTCTGACATGTTCTCCCTGTGTCAGCGTGGGTTTCCTCCAGGTGCTCTGACATGTTCTCCCTGTGTCAGCGTGGGTTTCCTCCAGGTGCTCTGACATGTTCTCCCTGTGTCAGCGTGGGTTTCCTCCAGGTGCTCTGACATGTTCTCCCTGTGTCAGCGTGGGTTTCCTCCAGGTGCTCTGACATGTTCTCCCTGTGTCAGCGTGGGTTTCCTCCAGGTGCTCTGACATGTTCTCCCTGTGTCAGCGTGGGTTTCCTCCAGGTGCTCTGACATGTTCTCCCTGTGTCAGCGTGGGTTTCCTCCAGGTGCTCTGACATGTTCTCCCTGTGTCAGCGTGGGTTTCCTCCAGGTGCTCTGACATGTTCTCCCTGTGTCAGCGTGGGTTTCCTCCAGGTGCTCTGACATGTTCTCCCTGTGTCAGCGTGGGTTTCCTCCAGGTGCTCTGACATGTTCTCCCTGTGTCAGCGTGGGTTTCCTCCAGGTGCTCTGACATGTTCTCCCTGTGTCAGCGTGGGTTTCCTCCAGGTGCTCCAGCTTCCTCCCACAGTCCAAAGACATGCAGGTTAATTGGTGACTCTAAATTGTCCGTAGGTGTGAATGTGAGTGTGAATGGTTGTCTGTCTCTATGTGTCAGTCCTGTGATAGTCTGGTGACCTGTCCAGGGTGAACCCTGCCTCTCACCCAGTGTCAGCTGGGATAGGCTTCAGCCCCCCAACGACCCTCAAGAGGATAAGCTGCTACGGAAATGGATGAATGTATTTAAATAATTACAGTAGTTAATACATTTTTAACGACTAGTCTAAAACTGACCGGGGTAGATCCTGAAGAAGCCGGTGGAGCTGCCAAAGAACTGCCAGGTGAGCGTTGGATCCTTCTGGAAGTTACTGATGAAGACGTCGTTTAACGCCTCAGAGTTGTAGATGGCGTTGAGGATGTTGGGATCTGCACACACAGAACAGAAACATCCTGAGCAAAGCTTAACTTTACAGGAAGTGTTTGTACATTTCAGAGGCAGAGCTGGCGACCTCTGACCTTTGTTGTAGACATTGGTGGGAACCTGGATGTTGCTCTGCTGCGTGTTCACCAGCAGGTTGTTAAAGTGTTCGTTCTCCTCCAGGGGGAACTCTCCGCCCAGCTCCACGTTGTTCCCGTCCTCGTCCACCGTGTTGATCATCATGGAGTTGTAGTAATCAAACTGTTCAGGAGACAGGATGTAGGACATGAACAGGTTCCTTTCAGAATAAGGTGATGACTTTTAGACAAAGGAGTAAATATCTATCCACCATAAATTACCTTAAATATCCTGACGACATTACGTGTAGGCATCTCTCCAAATATAAATGAATAAGGACAAATGATGGGATTTTATGAAGCACAGTGGGGAACACAACTTCAGTTTAAAATAATAAAAAATTGTAATAATACGTATTATAATTACACAAAATCTGTGTCAGTTGTTATTACCTGACCTGCTTAGACCTCCATACACAATGTTTGATACTCAGTTTCTGTACCCCTACATTCACCTTTGGGGGGTACCCCTCCTATAAAGGGCTGTCTCCCACCTTACCTCTCCCTTTTTGCTGTTGTGCTTCATAGGAGAGGTAAGTGACATTGCTCTTGTTTTCTGTGTTTTAGAGCTGTTAAGCTGTTTATAAGTTCATTTTCCAGCCTAAGGTTATTGTATAATATTGTGACATATTCCTGAGTCACCTAATTTGTGTAGGGGCTCGAGTTATATGGTCGTAATTGACGGAGGGTTTTGTTTTTACTCTTTCTGTCAGTTGTCAGGAATAAATGGAGATCAACAGTCTGGGCCTCTTCATATCAACACAACGCAGACAACACTAGAGTCCACCGGGTACATAAACCGATCAGCCAAAACAGTCAAAACACTGACAGGTGAAGTGAATAACATTGATCACCTTGTTACAATGCAATGCTCTGCTGGGAGACCTTTGGTCCTGGCATTCATGTGGATGCCACCTGAAGCCCTTCACCAACCCAAACACTGCTGTGGGCTAGGTAACCCCCCTCACAGCAACGGTACTCCCTGATGGCAGTGCCCCCCAGCAGGACAATGAACCATGCCACACCACAAAAGCTGCTCAGGAATGAGGAACATGACAGAAAGCTCAAGGCATCGACCTGGCCTCCAAGTCTCCCACACCTCAATCTGACTGAGCATCTTGGGAAGTACTGGTGCCCCACCTCACAACTGACAGGTCTAAATGATCCGAAGCCAGCACCTGGCCGGGTGCCAGACACCACAGGACACCTTCCAGAGAACCTGTGTCCATGCCTTGACATGTCAGAGACATGTCCACTCCAGGAAGGCCTCACCGTGGATTAGGGGTGCCTCAGAGGTACCAGCACGTCCCATGGGGGACAGCCCGCCATTCCGAACCACCCCCACTCCGAAACGGATTTTCAAGTCCATATTGAATTTCCTGCATCAAACACTGCCGCCCGCTCTCCGGCCGCACTCGCACAATTCTGAAATTTGCTGTACTACAAAAGCTTGAAATGAACGTTCAACTCATTGTTTTTTATTGAAAATATGTCACTGTCTTCATTTTTTATGTATAATTTCGCTAGCAGCAAACACATTAAAAAGGAGACGCTTGTCAAGTGTTTTTACGCGCGCTGTCCGTGGTGCTGAAATCCCCACTCCCGGTCGCACATGTGGATACGTGTTGATTGGAGGCACCTGTTAATGAACTGCAGGCGTTGTCCCCAATATTCAGAATAGCGGGGCCTTGAGAAAAAATGGGAAACCCCGCCATTACGAAGAATGGAGGTCTATTTTCGGAAAGGCGGGGTGTCCCTGTCCCATGGATGCTTGATCAGATTTAGATCTGGGGAATTTGGAGGCCAGGTCGATGCCTTTAGCTTTTTGTGACGTTCCGCAGGTCATTCCTGAGCAGTTTCTGCAGCGTAGCATGGGGCATTTTCCTGCTGGGGGGCCACTGCCATCAGGTAGTGCTGCTGCCATGACGAGAGATAGTTGATCTGCAGAGGTTTCTGGGTGGGTGGAGAGCATTAGGTAGCATGAATGTCTGGAGCAAAAGTTCCCCAGGGGAACATTGCATTGTAACAAGATGGTCAATGTTACTCACTCCACCTGAGAGCGGTTCTAATTTTTTTGGCTGATCAGTGCATATTCACTTAATATTCAACTGTTAAAAAGTCTTCCATTTATCTTTTGGTTTTTATGGAGTTGGTTTTACTCAGAAATTCTGACCTGAATTTGGTGCGAAAGTTGAATGAAAACAGTAAAGTGTTCCTTATACATATGTTTATGTTTAGAGAGAATTTTCCATTTGAGCTTTTATTTTGATAAATGCAACCTTGCTGCTGTTTTTTTTTATTTAAAAAAAGGCCCTTTGATAGCAGGTTTTTAGAATTAAAGTCACTCCTATCAGTTCTACTGTACTGTATAAGGTGTTATTTTGCTTAAATGTTGGCTGCAGCCCAGCACTGCAGGTTAGCAGCATGCTGTCATAAACACAACAGCTCCTATTGTTTTAAAAAAAATCAGATTAACGAAGTATCAGTGAGGTTGTTTGACAGGAGAGAGACAGAATCATCTAATTAATGAGCAACATCTACCAACTATGTGATTACTGCTGCTGAACTGAATGCTGTGTGCTGTTAATATGACCTTCTCATGCTACACTGTATGTTTTTATATAACATGTTAGTGTTATTCTGTGTGCAGTTTGGTTGCTGCGGTGTTGACCCAGTTTCCTCACAGGATCAGTGAAGTTTGATCTAATCTAATTTCAGGTGTCAGCTGAAGCTTTAAAGCTTCAATCTGCCGGTGCCTCTGATCGGGGTCAACCCTCTGTTCCCAGGGTCCTGTGTCTCTTGATAGAGACTATCATTGTGACAGATTGGTAAAGGCTAGGTTCATAGTTCAAACTGCAAAAGCATGAGGGCAGATGTATGTTTCAAATGCAGTCTGAATGGTAAAAATCTGTTCAGTAACTGTGGAGATATCAGCGTTTAAGTGGCCCAACAACGCCCAAACATTCGAGGGCGTAGGTTTAATGAAGTATAAAATCAGTAGGCTGTAAGCTGTGGGTGATTTCAACACACTGACCCATGGACACATCACTGAACATTGATCGAGGAGAAAAACATTGCTGAGAACATATTCTTGTGAAGCCAGGCCATCTCCACAGTGGTGTGTCAGCGCTACAGAAAGATCTGGAATCACTGATTGCCTCTCTGCTATGGGTGTGTTTGTGTTTCTTTAAACCAGTCACAGTATTCTTGGGCGGCACTAAGCCCAGGATGCAGTGATGGTGGTCTTGCAAAACAGTGTCAGGTTGAACTTGGTTTGGTCGAACATTCGCACGTGAGGAGGCGAGCACTGTCTGTAAAATGGCTCCACAAAAGAAAACGCTACAGAAAACATTGTTAGTCGTATGTCACTGTGTGATTCAACTTTTAGTGATATAAGAGACAAACATAATTTGGTAATCAGACCTATAGAGGTGAAGCCAGACTGTATTTTAGCTTTAGAGGAGCCCACTGAACCTGTTAAAACTACAGACGGTTTTATGGCTGCATGTGGCTCTGGCAGAACGTTATTACATAAGAGAAGCTCATGTGAAGTGAATGGATCGGTACATGTTGTTTTATTCATTGTAGATCTTTACAACAATTCACCAAAAAAACAAAGCAGGCATGACTCATTGAGCGTTCCAGATCTTCATCAAAAGTTGCCATTTTCAGCCTGTAAGTTGCTCAGCTCGGAGGTTGGTGTTGTTGTTGTTTTTGTTGTTTCCCGTATTGAAAAAGTTTTGGAAATGGTAACACGCAGATAGCGGAAGGAAGGAAGGGAGAGTTCCGGCCTAAATCAGTGGCCCAGTGGCAGGTTTACAGCCACAGTGTGCACCCCGTGAGTCAGACTACTGAAAATATAAAACCTTTTGAATCGTCTCTTTGAGGTGCCAAAGTATGTTCCCCTCTGATCTGCACACATTTAGCATGCTAACGTTAGTGATTTCATTACTCTGCAGTTTTAATCATGAAGCAAAAAGCACACAAAGAACTAAAACATAAACATGACCAGCTGGAAGTGACCTTTAAAAACAAGAGCACTCACCGTTAATGAAGCGTTGAAGTCGTGGTACAGGTCAGCGTCCTCTGCAGACTCTGCTAACCTCTGAGACGACAAACAGAAAAGTCTTTATGAGTCGTCTGACTGCAGTGGGAAATAAAAACATGTACCATGTGAAGGACAATCTGCCTGTGAACATCCTTTATGACCCCATAAATAAAGTAATGTTTCATCATCATCATCATCATCATCATCATCATCACCACCACAGGTTACATCAGACAAAGGGTTGTGGGAAAACAGAGCCGTTAAACTCTTAAAACCCTCTCATTTCATTTCAGTATTTTTATTGCTAAGTATTTGACAAGAAAAAGATTCCATCATTACATTCTTACTTTACATTATTCACAGTGTTAAATCACAGAGATTTATCTTGTGACATCTGAGTTAAATTTGGCTCAAATGATCTCAGTTCAGTGTTTACAGGCAGAGACAAGACAGTCTTTGATACGTTGTAAAAGTAGTGTTATTTTATTAATGTACTGACAGATCTGCATTGTACATGGACCTAATGTTTTTACCTGATTATGTTGTTCTGTTATAAACTCTAAAGGGCAAATTCACAAAATGATTCTGCAGCTTCTGCACAAATGTAATTCTCACAGCACCCACAATAAGAGAGATGCACTGTTAGCAAACAGCCTCCTGGTGCTCCTGTGCTGTTTTGCACATATTTAAATGACTTAATATTCATAGATTTTGCAGATGAGCCTCACTGCAAAAAAAGTCTAGATCATAAAGGTCAGTGCTGGCAGCCACACACGGTTACAGTGAAATTATTACCATCTTCAGAGAGTTGGTAGGAACTGAATCACACTAACAGACTGAGATATTAAATCCCAAATATGGTTTCTCTCAGTCATGTTTAAATTCTTCACCTTAAGTTTTGAGGAACACCTCGGTACCTCGTCGGTCAGGACCTGTAGCTCACTGTTTTCTCCTTCTCTCTGTCATTGTTCTGTCCACTGTGTTTTTGGCATTTATACCACATGTGAGCCACATAGAAAACTGCATTCAGCACTGTCATATCATGAGAGTAATTTCTTTTGTGAATCAGACCTGCCTGGCTCTGATGTCTGGTCTGACAGGTGTTCTTTGGTAAAGCAGGAAAAAGTACAAAAATCAAGGTCCCAGAAATGAATGCTCCTAATCACGCTAACTAGGCTGATCAGTGTTTCTCAGACACCAATGAAGACCTGGAGTTGATGAAGTAGCCTCTTTGTCCTCACCTTCACTGACTTCATCTTGCTTCCCAACATTCGCTCAATCTCATCAGAATAATCTTTCACCAGGTCGTTTCCTTCCAGCTCTACGATCTTAATGATGGACTCCACATCCTTCAGTTTCTGAGAGGGAACAAACACAGATTGTTAAACATACCAGAGCTCTGTATATTTGCACAAAGTCAGTGTGGACGTAAGCATTGTTCTTCAAAAGAGCAGATGTCGTTTGTCTCTCTATTGATTTTATGTTTGTATAATAAAACAGGAACCACTGTTACTCTACTGTTTGTCTTGTCAAAAAGATCTTCTTGATAATGTCATCATTATTAAACTGACCACTGGGGTGATCTGTGAATGAGTTGTAAAGGAATATCTGTTGTTTGTTGTGTAAATAAAAGCTGGGGAGGCAGAAATCTGAAAAAGACAACAACAAAAAGGTAACAAGCTCCCTTGTCCTGCAGCTCCGCCCTCTCTGTCCTAAGCCCCTCCCATCAGATGACCACAGGCAGATGCACCCACTTCACACAGTAACCCAGTGTGTCCCACAGCCCACTGCTCATTCTCTCAGACCCTCCTTGCCGGCTCTCTCTCTGTTTATCAGACCACAAATGAATCAAGAATTAGCTGCGAGCCATCCCATGGTGCCTCAGCTTCCCCCCCACTGCTGTGGAGTGCTTCCTCAGGAGGAGAGCAGGCAGAGGCTTTGGGGACGAGCCTTCAGTTGCCAGCTGGAGTGGCTTGAATTCAACCAGTGCAAACCCTCAAGCCACTACGGAAGGTAACAGCAGTTTGTAACAGCAGCAACATAAAGTTTTCTGATCCGGGGCTGTCCATTGCCCTGGAGCGGGAGTGTGCGCAGGGTGGATTCAGGTTGCTGTGGCCACTGACTCAGGGTCTTTCTACAGAGCTGCTGCCTGCTCTCCTCTCAGCCAGAGGTCGGTAGCAGCAGGGACTGAGGCGAAGGACACACTGTGATTTAAGTCTCAAGCTGTTGTTAGCTAGATAAACGTGAACTTGAAGCCGCAGCCATGAGTCTTTAGCACAGGTTAGCAGAAGGCAAAACTATTACCAACATTTTTTCTTCATATCTGACACACTTCGCTGATAGTGATATGATTTTCCAGATAGTGAGTTTTATAGTTTATCGTCAGACTGTCTTTTAAGTCCCGTCTCCACCAAACCCTTTCAGTCCAGCACCTTTGGAACCAGCAGTAACCCTTCAGACATGGTACCTAGACCCTGGGTCTGTTCAGACAGTCCTCTTAAATGTGGGCGGGGTTGTTGTCACTCACTGCTCCGTCCAGCACTCGCTGTATTTCCTCATCAGCGGTGACACAGATGGAAGTCTGCACCTGGTTTATCGTCCACAGAACGAGGCTGCACGCCCACATTTTCACAACAAAATAGAACAGGCTGCAGTGAGAGTCTCTCTCCATGGGATATTTAAAAATAGCAGCTTTGTGCATTTAGTCCTTCTCAGGCAAGCTCAGGGGTTTAGTGTTGTGTTACGTCATAAAAACTAAAGTGATGGTCAAAGTTGTCACAGTGAAATTTAAGGTGTGCTGATGGATTCACGTCATCAACTCATGCATTGAGTAACATTACAAGTTAACGTTCCACCTTAAAAGTTGCCGGCAGTCGGCCCAGTGAATGAAGTAATTTTTTCTCAGACTCCAGCTGCTGTGAGAGGCAGCAAAACATCCTTTCATTTTATAGTTACAGTTTACTAATAAAACTCTCCACAGTATGAACAGTGGTTACATGAGCCTCAAAACCAGACACAACTCAGCCCTGAGCAGAGTGACCGTCCTCTGCTGACCAATCAGACTGCAGTGTTCACAGCTCCACCTTTTAGTACCAGATCTGTGTGCTAGGTACCCCAACAGAGGGGGGACCAAACATGGGGACGCTAAGGAACGCTTCTGTTGGGACCATCCACAACTTTACACAGTGGGAACAGAAACTACTGAACTGAACTGCTCGGTGGAAACGGGGCTATAGTCTGCCTTCCTTTTTTGGGTTGCTTCCCAGTGTAAGCAGTTGTTGCCGATGCTGGAACAGCAACTATCTCTGCAGGATTCTCCGTCATTGACTCAGCCACGACATGCACGCCAATGTGCATTTGTAGTGAAGCCAATAGCAACGCCCTCTGTCTGAAAATAACCTGTGATTGGCCAAAGTCTCCCGTCACAGGCTAGATTTTCTAAAGGCTGAAAACAGAGCAAAGAGGAGGTGCAGCAGACTAGTTTTCTCTCAGACCTCCTAAATTTCAATATCCTTAATGTTTATTATGGGATTTTTGGCCAGTGAGGACAAAATCAAACACAGATTTGAATTATTCTTTAATTCTTTTCAATCCAGGCAGTGATCTTATTTTATATAATAATGAACTGCTGTTACTCCACGACTTGTGTTGTTAAATTAAAGTTACTTTAGGATTTTTCCACACAGTAATTGAAACAGATGAAACAGTGGAGCTGATCTAATGCTGTTGGCAGTTTGGTTTGTTTCTGTCCTATAATTGGGACTGAAAGACTCACTGTCAGATTAGCTGCGATGTGGAGATGTGTGTTTTTGTTTTTGTTCTTACAGCGAGGCTCTCCGAGGGAATCAGGTCACTTTCTCTGGATCAAGGAGCTCGAGGTAGATCAGCCAGCTGAGAGCCAGGAGGAACAGCCCAGTCTGGCTATTTAATCACTCGATTAAGTCATTCGCTAATTTCAATTAGTCCAAGCAACCCACTTAATGACAAGAATACATGAGCAGAGCCAAACGTTCGGTGTTACCTCAGCAGATGTCCTGTTTCTGGTCTGCATCCACTCACACACACAGTATAAACTGTATATACTGTAGTTCTCCCCTCGCTCGGCTCACCATGATCCCAGGAAAAGTTGTACCGAATGGTGTTACAAAGAGAAGAGCACCCAAAAAATAAAAGCATATCAGTCCAAACAGACTTCGAGGCTGTACAAAGAGCAAGAAAGGTTATAAACCATCTGAATAACATCTGGTATCCATTTGTGGGCACAGAGAAATTCAAACACAACTATTTTACTAAACTATCACTAAACAAAGCCTGCAGACACAAGAAATCTCATCACGGGAGGTTTGATGTTTCACAGTCTTTAGTTCACACTGATATGCTTTCATTCTATTGGGTGCTCAGCTCGTCTTAACGCCATTCGATGGAGAACTTTTTCTGGGACCACATAAACCCTAGGGAGGTGAGGACAACATACAATTTATTTTGTTTTCGCATGAACTATTACTTGAACTGATGCAAGATTTTCGGGGCTGATAAATCTGGTGTTTTTGAACTGGCGTCTCTTTTCTGTAGCAGAAGTATTCACGTTTTTAAATGAAACTTTTTGCAGAAAATTTAAAAACAACTGTAATACGGCCACAGGACAGGTAGGCCTGCTCTGATTTTAGAAATTTATCAATTTATCTGCCATGTTTAGTCAAATATCTATAAGCCTGTGAGAACCCTGATGGCATCACTGTGACACCATCTGGGTTGACTCCAATCAGGCATGGAGAGGCTGGCCAACATATATCCAAACAGGACTGATTCAGGTGTGACTATGTACACATGCTCCTGTAATGCCCACAATAATCAGAGTTGTGGGCTGCTATATTTGAGACATTAGTAATGTACTGGGTAAAACAGTTGACCCTGACCCCCTCACTGCCCTCTTTGCGCCCAATATGGCCAAGACTGCACAACAGATCCTTGCTTTTACGACCTTACTCGACTGGAGACTCAACAACAGTGCATTAGATTTAGAGAATCAGATTCTCTCTGAGGAGATCCCTCACAAAATTTGGCAACCCCTCTTAGGGAGGGACCCAACCTCTCAGGACTGGAATCCAGGAGGATGGCTAGGAGTGGGATGGGAATTATAACAGATATCTGAGAACCCTGTTTCCTTCACTGTTTTTGTGAATACTGTCTATTTTGTGTCAAAACTAATAGAGAGAGTTGAAAAGAAATTAGACTTGAAGACGACAAAGTTATAGAAGAAAGTCTGTTTTACAAACAGGAGGTGTAGAGTTTGAAAGATGCGGGTAGTAGTAGTGGTAATTTATTCGTCCATTCAACAGAACATGATATTTACATACATACAATTAGGATTTCTATATTAAGTATGGTTGAAAAGGAGTAGGCTGAAGCAACAGCTTATTATTGCCTACCCTATTTACAAGAAGGAAAGTTACAGAAACAGAACAAGATAACAGGATGGCACAGTTTTAAACAATGATTTGGGTCGGGGTTGTTTGGAAGAAATCAGACTTTAAGCAAGAATCACTCTGACTTCTGTCTTCAGGGAAGTTTTTAATATGTAGTGGGCTCTTAAAGGGAAATGTGGGTTTATTTGAACATGTCTCCTATCGTCCTAAATTTGTTTCAAGTGACTAGTGACATAAAAATAATAGTTAGCATGTTAGCCGTTAGCCTAGATACAGCCGGGGCACATAGTAGCGTCAGACCTGTTAAAACATAAGTGAACGGGCAACCTTCAAGTGCAAAGTTAGTCCACTAAACAAGCTTTTTCTCCACAAAGACCGCCTCATATCGTTAGGATAAATGTCAGAGAACATATAGAAAACGACATGTAAACGTGTTGTCTTACCTTACCGGTGTGCTGCCATGTTTGTTTACCATCTAGCTCTGCTTTCCAAAGCGCGGCCGAAATATATCTGGCGAGCTCTAGATAAAGCCCAGCTGGATACTACTCCAGGTGGAGGTGTCTCGTCCTCGGTCACATCCAGACCTTGAAAATAAGGCTGCAACCGGTCCCATTCCTTGCAACAGAGGCATTCCTCTTCTGTGGGCACTGGGGCACAGCATTCACAGGTACACCACCAATCTCCAGAGCTACGCAGCCTTGCAGCAGCCATTCCTCCTCTCTCGTCCTCTACCTGTTGCGCCTCTCTCTCTCTCCTCCTCCGTTCTTCAATTTCACGAAGCTCTTCGTCAGTGTATTCTGGCTCAAATAAATAAGGGCGGCCATCAAACTCTGCAAAATCAAATTCCTCCTCCACAAAGTCAAAATCTGGCAAAAAGTCAGCCATTATTCTATAAATCTTTCATAAAATAAATGAATGAACTTTTCAGGCTACTGTCCGGTTCTGCCTTCCAGCTGTTGCTGCTTGTTCTCGCGAGATTTCAGCCGCGCTTTGGAAAGCATAGCTAGATGGTAAACAAACATGGCAGCACACCGGTAAGGTAAGACAACACGTTTACATGTCGTTTTCTATATGTTCTCTGACATTTATCCTAACGATATGAGCCGGTCTTTGTGGAAAAAAAGCTTGTTTAGTGGACTAACTTTGCACTTGAAGGTTGCCCGTTCACTTACGTTTTAACAGGTCTGATGCTACTATGCGCCCCGGCTGTATCTAGGCTAACGGCTAACATGCTAACTATTATTTTTATGTCACTAGTCACTTGAAACAAATTTAGGACGATAGGAGACAGGTTGAAATAAACCCACATTTCCCTTTAATGGGAGGCTCTGAAACTGAAGCTAATATTTCTGTCAGCTCCTTTTCTCCTACACAGATAAAGCAAAGCCCACCGTCAGCCGGTGATGTTTTCTTTTTTTAACATTGTGTATCTGATACTTATATTCACCTGAATGTTAAATATGTATGTGACACAATAAATTAACAGCTGTGGCAACTAAATCTGACACACCTTATTTTCCACCAGCTTTTTCATCCAAATGAAGCTGTTGAAAACTTCAGTCAGGAGGAAGTTACTTTTGCATATTTAGGTCTTTAAAATATTTCTTCCAAACATATTCGAGACGTACAGAGGAGTCGTCTCACACTTGTGACTGGACCACATCGGGCTCTGTGGCAGCAGACAACAAACTTTTCACTGATAGTCTCAATAAAAACAACAAGATGGAACCAGAAACTGTTTGCAGACGTGTTGCCGGGTGGTTTGTTCTCACTGCAGGAGGTGGCTGTGTGTTTGTGAGAGCAGACAAACTGCAGACTGCCTGTGATAAATCTAAATCTGACAGATAAATGGATGAATGTCTAAAATCAGAACAGGCCACAAATCCTGACGCCGGTAAAGAGGGCTCGGCCCTCAATCTGGGCATTACCATGATCCCTGAGTGTGTGTGTGTGTGTGTGTGTGTGTGTGTGTGTGTGTGCGTGTGCGTGTGTGTGTACTAAACACACATAAATACACCCACACAGACAGACGCTATCACACAGACCGACACTCTGCTCCCACTGCTCTCTGCTCCCAGTTCAACCAGTCTGGTGGCCATCGGACCAGTTTGAGGTTCAGCTGCATTTCATGAGTTTCTTTTACTTTTTTCAGTCTAATACAAAATTACATCACATCATCTGATGACTCTAATCCAAAACACAGCGTCATCCTGCTTTAATGTTTAAAGGAGAATCAACCAAAAAGACTTTTTAATGCCAGAAAAAAAAACAGCTTAATTTTTTGTATTGTTCTTGTTCTCATGTGTGACTGTCACAGTGTTGGCACAATGTACCTTCAAGCAAAGCCATTTAAAAATGTCAGTGATCTTAATCCTTCCTGCAGCCTCTACTGTATCTAGCACAGGTGGTCAATAATCAATAAAAAACAGAAACCAGCAGCAGGAAACAGACCCAACTGATGTGAAGCTTCAGCATTCATCAGGTTTCTCTCTCTGGCTTCATGAAACACGTCTACTTCTCCTCCTGAAGTTGAAAGAAACTCTGAGGTGGTGAAGTGGGATCAGCTGCTCATTCTGGAAGTATTTTTCCCAACAGCAAATTACAAATTTTACTTTTCAAGATTTCCTCCATGTTTGTTAACACAGAAACAGGTCGTTCTGTGAAATAGGCGCCTTTTGCTTCCAGTAATCAGCAAAAAAAATTACTGTATCTTTCCCCAAAATATAAAAACAAATTGAAGTAAAATAAATAATATTCAATTCAATCAAATCATGTTTAGGAATTTATTCTTTGACCTCTCTACTTGAGCTGGACTTTTATTTTGTAAATTTGCCAACCTGCTCAGAATTTAACTTTTAAATGTCACCTGACTGCCATCCTTTACAAGAAACCTGCTTCATTTACCTTCTGCAGCAGCAGAGAGCCGGAGTATTTGGTGGTGATTTCTCGAAGCTGAGTGGAGAACACAGACGCCCACTGCTGCACCCTGAAACACAGACGGACGAGGAGTCAACAGCAAAATACAACATGAAGGATGAAACCTACAGGATACAAGAATACAGCATCAGACTGGTGGTGAACAAGTTAACACAACAGCTGTAAAGTAAATAATGCCTGCACTGGTACTTTTTATTTCCATGTCATTACGAACATTTGGCCCCTCACACGTGTGATTAAAGACACTGAAAATATGCAAAATTATTGCAAACATCCAAAAAGGACAGCAAAGATGGAGAGACACAAACAAACAAACAAACAAACAAACAAACTTAAAAACAGACTAAAAGAGTCTAAAGACTAAAATGCTTTAAAGGATTAAACTGAACCATTTTTGTAAAACAAACGTTTTATTAAACTGCACACTGAGGCTCATCGAAGCACGTTCAAGTTAAACAAGAAAGCAGTGTTTGCTGGACGGTTTGTATCAAACGACTGAAAACAGCAGCAGTGGTGGTTAAGAGTGGCAGAAATGGTTGTAGTGGTGTGTGTATAGACCTTTTCAGAGCCAACGTCACAATGACGTCAGTTTGTTAGCTGGAGGAGCAGCTGCCTCTCCCCCACAGGGCTGTAGGCTCCATAGGAGTGTTAAAATGTGTTTGTCTTGTTGTGTTATTGGGAGCCAGAATAGAAGGAGTCATGGCTCAAAACCAGCCGCCACTGCCCGTCAACAAAAACAAAGACAACTATGGTTAAATGTGATAAGACCAAAGGACTGGACGGAGGCCATCATCAAAAATGCTCACATGTGCAGCGCACACTTCATATCAGGTTAGGGAAAAAGTATTTCCTGTTGTAGGGATGAATAAGGTTATGTGTATTAAGGGTTATCATGTCCACCTCATCAGAAACTGGGGAGGGATTAAGAGGAAGATTGGATTTCTCTGCAACGCTAACTTTTTAGCACATTAGCTAACGTTAGCTTCCATAGCAAAACAAACAAGTGTGGTCCTTCTTTGTAAGATTGGCTTCCTGTGACATCATCCATCCACTGAGTGAGAGCATACGGGTCGGCCAGTCTGGTCCCGTTGGTCAGTGTTTACTTATTCAAGTAACACTGGCGGTCCAGGAGAGTGAGTGACCTGACATGGTGCGTTGGTAAATTCAGTCTGACGCTCTACACTAAAATGAGAGCCCTGTTGGTGGAAGAAACGCAGCGTTATATTTCTACAAGAATGAACCAACGATTAAGTTAATCACACATTCACTCCGCTCGGCGCTCTGCTGCTCCGTCTCCACAGACAGAGTGCGCTCTGCCAGAGTGTAATGGTGGCAGTAGAGATGGTTAAAGAGGCAGTTTGGACTTTTTGAAGTGGGGGTGTTTGAGGTACAAACTCATATTTAGTGTATTTTGTTGGTCGAAACATCCCCGGCTTGGAGAAGCAGGCAGGCGTGCTGACACAGGTGTTAGGTTATACAATGTCCTGCTGTGGACGCGTGCAGCAACAAAATATATTTTAGCCACCTTAAAAAAATCAGTAACAGTTTAAGTGTACGTTATACTTAAAATACAGAATATTTTTATCTGGCTGTCAGACAACCTTTTCCAACGAGGAAGCCATTAACGACTCTAGCTCCCTGTCTCTGCTCACATCAAAGCCAGACTCCACAGACAGTGGTTTTAGCTCTGAACACAGGAGCTGCTGGTCTACCACTGCCTCCATCATTTATCATTCACTTTGGTGTTCCTAAACTAACTCTTTTAAACACCAAAGTCACACATTAACACAAACTATCTAACTGATCAAGGCAGCAGTCGACCAGCAGCTTCTGTGTCCAGCTACGTTAAACCACTGTATTTGTTAATGGAGTCTGGCTCTGAACAGAGCGATACAGTGACTTCACTTTGGTGTGTGACATCGCTGTCTGCATCAGGGTATAGTGACTATCACTGTTGCTGTGTTTATGTTTCTATCTTCTTTTTTACATAAACGTTTACTGAAACACTTACATGTGAAATTTCCACTTCCTGTCATCAACTTGTCGTTGTTGTAAATTTGTTTGTTGACTGTAATAAAGTTATACGACGCAACAACAAAATAATAAAACAGACATATAAACAGTGTACTGTACTGTGACTGTGTGTGTTTATGTGAACGTGGATGTGTTGCTTTGTGTTTGGTTGTCTGTTGCCATGGTGACGCTCTGCAGCAGCAGCAGCGGTGGCGAGTTACGGCAGAAAAAGACGGCTGAATATGACGGTGATGAAAGAGATTTAGATAATCTGTTCTTCATCTGGGTCACAGCAGAGAGCTGCAGGTGTCTGCTCATACACAAACTCACAATGACACAAAAACACAATCAACACATCACACACACACACACACACACACACACACACACACTGTGCTGCAGACTCTGTGAAGCAGGTCTCTGTTTGAGGTCCTGAGAGCAACTAAAGTTCATGTCTCAGTGTGTCTCATATATAATCCTTCATGTTACAGAGTCTGATCCTCATGTTGACAAAACACCAGTTCAAGATGTCTTTGCACACCTGAGTGTGTGGCAGGTGTGTATTTTTATACTGTTGTACATTAGATTTTTAGATACTTATAATTATTCATTAATGTAATTATGACCATTTCTGCATGATTAGTTTTAGTTTTGTGACTGATTCTTTATTCTCCTGTCTAACTACTGATCAAGGAGTTTAGCTCCTACATACAGCTGCTCTCACAACAAGAGTGGAAAAAGTTTTCAGATCATTTACTCAAGTAAAAGAAGCAACAGCACAATTTAAAAATACTGTTACAAGTATAAGTCCTGCATTCCAACCCTTCTTTAATAAAAGTCTGTAATTACTATCAGCAAAGAGTACTTAAAATATAAAAGTAAAAGTACTCTTTATGCACCAATATGCTGTCCATATAACAAACTACTGAATTATTATCAGTGATGTAAGCAAGATTTAAATATTGTTGCTGACTGAGGAAGAGCTACTTTTGTCTTCTGTCAGGAGCCTTCATTTTCTTCATACCAGTGCATTGTATTTTATTTATTCATTGTAGGTTTTTAATCTTGCCACCTGCTGCTCAGAAGCCATTCACATGCTCTCACACACTGATGGAGCAGCCATCAGGAGCAATTTGGGTTCAGTGTCTTGCCCAAGGACACTTTGGACATGTGGACTGGAGGAGCCGGGAATCGAACCACCTATCCTCCGATTTGTGGACACTGCCATGTGAGCCACAGCTGCCTTGGTAAAGTAAAGTAAAAGCACCTCAGAATTGGCAACGGCTAATAATTTCACATCACATTCACTGTTCGATAATTTTGTTCTTTTTTTAAGATTTTTGCTGCAATAAAGAGAAATAATCTGAATTTCTCCCAGTGCAAAGTAATTACACAGACAGGATGAAGACAGTGTGGAGCCTGCAGAGAGCTCTCTCTCTCTCTCTCTCTCTCTCTCTCACACACACACACACACACACACACACACACACACACGCCACTGAAGGAACTGACTCAGCATATTGTCTTAGCATGTGTTTAACAAGGGAGTAGTTTATTGATCCATCTGTTCTGGACATTAATCCTCTGAGCTCACACACACACACACACACACACACACACACACACACACACACACACACACAGGCTGTCTATGATTAAACAAGACTAGGTTAAAACCTATTATGTGGCTGGACTGTGCATGATGCTAAAGGGCTTTCGATCTAAAATGGGAAGTGGTGGCGTTCACTCAGTCAGGACTCTGCCTCACTGTTGTGGTCCAGCTGAAAACTTCACACAGCAGAGAGGAGCAGCTGAACCCTTCTGATCATTTAACACAACCCTCCCTCTCCAGCTCCGCTCTGTGACATACGTTCCCGTGTGACTGGTGGAGGCTGCACAGCCATCGGCTACTATCAGAGCCAAGTTCTACTAATAACGACCGTTTGTAGAAAAACATCCTATCGCCGCCGATTAATTGGACAAACTGATGAATGGGTCAACCTCTAATTACGGGTCGTTACAAAGGTGGCAGCACCCGTTCCAACAGTGTGACATGTAAAACACAGTCAGTAACGTTTCTCAATAAGTTTAAGGCTTGTCTCATACAGACACAGCTGTTCCTCAAACAAACTGATGAGGTGATCCTCTCTTTTCTCCGTCCAAACCTGCAGTTTCAACCGCGGCAGGCTAGCTAGCTAATTCCACCATGCTTTCATGCCAACATTACACTAGCTGCAGAAAATGAGCCAAACAAAGTTGTAATTCATCTGATAATAGCAGAGTGCTTTCCTACACTGTGACAACAGTGTGCTGATGGAGCATTAAGTTGCTAAATTTTACTCATGTAGCAGCTGGCTAGCTAGCTAGCTAGCTGTCAGCATCCACAGCTCAGTCAGCACCAAACAGCTGCCAATGAGGAAACACCAACACTTATGTAAGAGGGGGTAAATAACTTTTGAATAAAGAAGATTCTTTTGATCAGGATTTGAGAGCAACCATGCTGATGGCTGCGTACACAGCTCCCCTTGGCTGCCAAAGTTTGAGGCAATAATACAATAATACAATAACCACCGTGAAAAAGAAACAAAGTAGGCCCGGGGTTGTTGGACTTGTTGCTGCCGCTACTCTCTCCTGTTTTTATTAAAGTCTCGGGAGACGGCGACAGAGAGACCTGGCAGTCGTGAATGCCCTGCCACGAGGATGATGTTCGCCAGCGCTGATGAATCCGCCCTCAAAAATTAAGACATTTTAAGCTGCTTTCACACCTGCCCTGTTTGGTTCAGTTCAGTCTAACTCAAGTTCATTTGTCCCCTCTGTGCGGTTCGTTTGGGCAGGTGTGAACACATCAATCACACTCAGGTGTGAACACACCAAAACAACCAGACTGAGACCTTCTTGAAGAGGTGGTCTCAGTCCGGTTCCAAAGGAACTCTGGTGCGGTTGGTTTGTGGTGAGAAGGTGTTCCGACCTGGATGTGAAGCAACTGCAGTCACATGACACATTGTTTGGGTTAAACATGAGCATGTTACAGTCCTG